AAAAAACAACACACAAGCTGATGCCCTTAGCGTTATGCTATAAAGACACTGACAGGCAATTACAGTAGGCAGGAAAAAGCAAAATTATAGAGCACACAAAGTTGACGTTTGGAATGGTGCTTCCATGGTTCAGCCAGCAACAAAAAGAGAAGCAGTGTGAAAGGGATGTTGTGCAAGTGTGCTGTCACTTACCCATCAGTGACATGATTACATCCCTTCCCTTGAGAGACACAGACGGAGATAGTGAGGATGTAGCTGTGTATTTAAAAAAAAAAAAATCCCTCTTAAAGCGAGCTGGTCTGGAACACTTCCTCAGCATGAATTGGTACTGTAACAGAATTTAAATACAGTCAGACTTGTCATAGTTAGTAAAGCATGAGCTAAGGGTGTGTGTAGAGTGAGAGAGCTGACAAAACAGCAGCCTATAGAGCTCATATATTACCAAATAGCTACAAGGATGCTTTGGGGACCCTGTAGACTGAGCAATTTATCCGAAAAAACCTTCCCACACTTTTTCCATACATATGACAGCTGTCCCTCGGTTTGTCTCGGCGGCAAGTAATGACAGATTGAGCGCATTAAATCGCTGATCTTTTCTCATTTCTCCTGCTTTATATAGCTAATCAAAATGCAGCACGTGCTAAATTATTAAAGAAAAAGACAAGGGCGAGAAGCACAATGTCACGGGAGGTTAGGTTTTCTTTGATTTCTCGCTTCTTAGGCAAGCACCGTTCACTATAAGAATCTAGCCTTTCCTCAAGTATTATTGATCTAGTTGAAGTGGTTCTGTCTGCCCTCCTCACCGCTGAACCGCTTCTGAAGCGAGGCTATTTGCCATCAAGTCTTTGTGGACATGTGCCATGGGATCTCCATTCACTGCACACTCCTCATTTTCAGTACTTAATAAGTTTTGGCCTCCGTTTTTTGTTGTAGCCAAAAGATGTGCGCACACACTCAGACACACACACACACACAAATGGGAGGGCGTAAGGTAGCAAAACAGGGATATAGAGACTAGTGTGGGGAGGTAGCTGATTTCCCTGGTGAGCTTATATCTGAGCTGTCGTCACCTGTCTCTTCTGTGGGATGGAGGCGCCTTAATCAGGAACATGAAAGTGTCTCCTGTGGTGCTGCCTCCTGTCTCTGTCACTCGGTTGTCTATTACTTGATTTTCCATCGCCAAGAGTATACGCCAATTTTTTCTGTGTCCAGTGTGAGAACGCTTAAATTCACATCAAGGCTGAGACAAGTTATTTTGGGTAAAGAGGTAGCTGTAGTGAATTAGAATACAGTTTTATTTAAGTCAGATCTTGTGTTTGCCCCACCGGAGACCCATCAGTTTGACGCGTTATTTCTACAACTTTCCAACAATGGAATTTCATATATTCTGCATCTGTGAGTGGTGTTGACAGCAGTTATTACATTGCACACTAAGTCTATTTTGATTTCTGTTTATTTATAACAGTTTACAACAGTCTGTTCACCATCTCTCTCCAAAACACTGCTAACTTTACAAAAGAGAGGTCTGTCTGTTAACCCTTTTTCTTCTGTTGCCGCCTCACCATATAGACAACTGTTAGCCTCTTTCTGTATGCACAGGGTGTGCGTGTGTTTGCCGACGTGAAGTCACACTGTTCACCTACTTTTGTTGTGAAGGATTACCTTATCTCAGTAAGCAGCAGGAGCTTTGTCTTCTGTAACTCAACATGTGCGATTAGTTCTCATTGTGTAACAGTGTAATCTGTTCAGATAAAGCCTTTTCCTTAATACAGACTCTTTTAAAGTTCTCAGAGAGGCTGAACACAGCTTTATTTGAATATTCAAAAATGCCTATTTGAATTTGAAATGTAAGGAGTCTATTATACAGGAAGTGCGATAACCTTTCCAACGCTGCAGTGCTTGCAGTGTAACCTGAATATAACTGACTGTATTTAACAATTGTACGATTCAGCAGAGAAGGTTTTCAGTTTGGTTTCCAACACAGGGAAAACATACGTGGACTAGGTTGCCACCTAGACAACATTTGGATGTTTCCTCGACCATTAGAGCATTCTGGCACCAACGCAGCCAGGTGTAGCACATAATCTAGATACTGACAGATTATTTTTGGCACCCTAAACAACTCCAAAAATGAAATGTAGCAGGGTATCATCAGATTTGACACATATGCAAAACATGTCCCCGTGTCTTGCACAGAGGGCTCATTAACTGCCTCCTCTTAATAGATTCACAATGTCTCCATTTTCCTTTTTTTCCGCCCAGCGTGTGCAATCTTTTCTGCCTGGACCAGAAACCTGCATGTCTAGCTGAAGCCCGTTCAAGCATGAGAGTCAGTTTCATTAGATTTACATCAGAAAGACAAAACAAGGGAGTGTGGGATGGCTACACGAGCGCGCTGTGTCCGCACGAGCAATCTGCATTACCATTTCAGGTGGATCGGACTGATGTACACCACAGTTGCCAAAATCTGGATGTGAGCAAGACTCTGTGAAATGTGGGAACACATTTACAGTCCAGCACACTGCCCACTTTATGGCGGGCTTGTAGACGATCACATAGAACTTCATCAAATGTTTAAGGAAAGAACTGTCTGCTGCGCCTACTCATGAATGCAGGAATGCAGAAAATACCCGCAGTGATATTTTGACCGAGCAAATAGTTATATTGAGATCGATCAGTGCATGACTTGATTCGAAATAAGCTTTTAATGCTTTAAATCCACTTCATAATGCGAGAGGAACAGATGTTAGGTGTGGCAAATCGTGGACAATAAAGGGAATCAATGCAGGAAGTAGTTATAATTGTGCTGCGGTTGACAAGTGACAGGGCTTATCCCTGTGTTTGGTGAAGAATTCCTGGTTAAACTGTCAGCAGTTGAAATGTGTTGAGGTTTATTTTGTCCCGTGCTGTCACTGTTAAATGTCGGCGAGCCTTATTTACATGCAGGGATTGTATCTATGTGGGTGAAGGGTTGTGGTGTCAGTGTTTCTCAAATAGTTTTTATTGGGTGGGTTACACAGCTTTGATGCTCACATACGCGGCTACTGCTTCAAGGATAGAGCTGTATTTGGTTTCCTTCTTCTGTATTGGTAACTGCTGATGTTTTTCAATTCTAGCTCATTTTATATGGATGTCATAATTAATTAGGAAATCCAAAAACTTAAAAAGTAAATCACACTGTATTGCCAGAAACTGTCATTTGGGGTTATCTTTGGGAATAGTGTGACATTTTGGAGAACACACCGATTTGCTTTTTTTTTTTTTGAGCTCTGGATGAGAAGAACAATACGATAATATGTTGGATAAATATGTAGCTACAACCCGGAGACCATTAGCACAAAGACTGAAAACGTGAAATCACAACTTCAGTGTCGTGCAGATTAAACAAACGAGGTCTAACGTGTCGAGGTGCTGGCAGGTGAACTTTGTCACCTTTGTGCAGAACCAGCCTAGCTACCCCAACACCCCTGGCTGGCTATAGCTTCATATTTAACAGACACACGAGTGGTATCATCGTCTCATCTTACTCTGCACTCATATCAGCAACAGCAACGGCAGAAAACAACTTGAAAAAGACAGTACAGCAGAGCTAAACCCGAGGCAGAACATGCCCTGTTTGAAATGATGAAATTGTCTGTTGTTTGTCATCTGCTTGCCGCAGTGGCTTTGCTGACAGGTTTTACGGGTTAGTTCAGTATCGGACCCCGATGTTGTTCGAGACCTGACAGTTCATAAAGATGAGTGACAAGCATCAGACTGTGAACTTGTTCCGCTGAATGTCAGGAGGACACCAGCAACAGCAGACTGTGTTGACATGAGGCAAACTGTTAGATGTCGTTGTGTATCTTTAGCAAAGTAGAGCATTTCAAGAGCACATCGCCATTTTATGAACTTGTTTAATTGTCTCGATTTCAAATAACACTTGACAAAAGGGGGTTTAACGTGAGGGAAGCAGAACAGACGGAGTGGGAAGCAGACATTTGTGCACCTCCGAACTTTGTCCGCTTATCCTGACATCACAGGCAACTGTGCAAATATGCCTTCAGGGTCCCAGTTGTTACTCTGTCCTGATGTAGACAATGGTAACCATAGTAAAAGTATTTACTTTCATTCAAACAGGATTCAAATGAGTATCACGCACAAAGCAAATGAATTAACCGCCCCATCTTTGCACTACTGCGAGGAAACCTTTAAAACTCCGGTAAGTTAGGAGGGAAAGGGAGAATAAAACTTTTGTTGCAGTGCAGAAATGGCATTGCAGTTCGCAGCTGTTTGTGCATGAATATAATCAGACAATTTCATGGCTGAATGCACACAGAATATTTAGGCATCTTCATTGTTTTTTGCGCTTTTCCTGTAAATACACGAACATTGCGACTGATTCACCAGATAGGAACCGCTGCGTCGTTCTCTTACACTGAACTGAACTGCTGATGAGCTGTTCTGGAGTTTTGCTGTCAGATTTTGGTTTCAGCACACCCACTCGTGCGTTTACCTTAGCTTGAACTCTGAGAGGTCTGAAATGTGAATCTGAATACCAAAAAACAGAGCGACACCTCATTTTCAGTCGGGCCATGGCAGCCTCTTCTTCCCCTGCGGCCCTCTGGCTCTAACCTCTCATCTCAGCCCATTGAGACACTTCTGCTGGCACCCTCCTCCCATCCCCCTCTCAAGCACTTTGTCTCCATGGCGATGTTTTGAATGAAATTTAGGGCAGGAAAGGTTTGGGTTTGTTTTTTTGTTTTATTTAGTTTTTTTACCAAGGGAGCTGTAAAATTGGAAGAACTCCTAGAAACTGCTGTTCTTAGTGTATGTAGGCGAAGACTAAGTGGTATTGATAAATGTCAGTCGAATATGTACAGAAAGGGGAGACTTTGAAGCATTCAGAATAATAACGGATTTCAATTTTCAGTCAAAAAATGCCATGCTGTGTTGAAGCTGACCAGATTAGCCCCTCTGAAAAAGTAATTGAAAAATGTGCCTGTGCTTTTCTCTTTTGCAGTCAGCGGTTTGGAGACTGTTATCGGCCTGTATGGGGAAACACTCGAGATCCCGTGCAACAATGGAGCCATAAAAGCAGAAGACATCGTAATGACTAAATGGAAATATGTAAGTCACAGTGGAGGTCAATAGATTCAAAATGGGGAAATCTGTCTGACACCCATTTATCATGTCTGAACCACGCCCAGTCTGAGTGCATATGGCGTGCATTAGACCATGCATCTGTCTCTCCATATGACACCGCATGAACAGAGGGCGTGGAGCAGAGCGCTGTGTGCTTTCATTTGACATGGAAGCCGATGCCATGTGTGACAGACATGTAACAAGTGCACTCTACTCTGCTCTCCAGGACAAAGGAGAGGGACTTTCAGGAGACCTGCTGGTCAAGCAGAAAAACCAGAATGTCTCAATCAGTGCCACTGATGGATATAAGGGTCGTGTGAGCATGGCTGCAAACATCAGCCTGCTGCTTTCTGAGGCCAAGCTGACTGACCAGCGGACTTTCACCTGCATGGTGGTGACTAGTGAAGACATCACAGAATATCCTGTCATTGTTGTGATCTACAGTGAGTACAAGCTGGCATAAATCTAGAATCACTTTTCGGATTGTGTTAGCATAAGTGCTAGAATGAAGAAATCACCTACAATAACACTCCGTTCATTAACACGTTTTTTTAATGTTGCAGAGGCACCGTCAAACCTGGAAATTTCTGACAAAGCGGAGGAAATAGAGATTGGCAAGCGTACAAAGGTGAGGTTTTTAATGAAAAACATTGCTTATACCTACATCATATTAGAAAGTAAACCATGAAGGGAAATCCCTATCTTGAGGCATAGTAGAGACTATGTTCCTACAGTAATAAGTTCTTTCAAGTGATTCATTCATGAATTAGTAAAGAGCAAAATCCCCCCCTCCATTGCAATTAAAATACCCAAAGGATATGAGGGGCTTTAGAAATGCTTTGGGCATTTCATGGTCTATTGCGTAGAAAACTACTTGATTCTGAAATTCTGGAGAGGCAACAAAAAAAAGATAATTCGCTCTGATGTTTGGTCAATTGAAATGACCAAACCAACCAAGATTGAGATTTATTCTAAATACTCTAAATGGTGATTTTTCTATCAATATTTTATTCCTTGAGTGCTTTTTTCTCACATTTTTGATTTCTTTGTTCCACAGCTAGGAAAATGTGTTGCACAGGACGCCAACCCAGCTGCAGAAATCACATGGTTAAAGAACAATAAACCTCTGGTGGCTGATGGGAAAGGTATGCATTCTTCATCCTGTTGCATGATTATAAATGCTATAAATGCTGACTGGGACCATTTCTGTAAATTGTTCTTCAGTGATGAATGATGCTGCACTCGCCAACCGTGTGAATGCAGTGTGTTTTGGTCATTACACCATTTTCTTCCTTGTTAGAGTTTTCAGACAGAGTTGTTTTTTTTCTGTCCAGGGATTTTCATTCAAGCCTCGGTGCTGGTAGACCCCGTTACTGGCCTTACGACCACTACCTCCGAACTGGAGTATTCGGCCGAGAAAGAAGACACGGACGCCCAATTCACCTGCAGCACTCAGCAAGGCGTGGGTGCAGAGCTGGTGTCCTCTCCAGTGATCTTCACTATCACCTGTGAGTCACCGAACCCCACTAACAACTTTCACTGGACTCACTTTCTAAACTGCACCAACTGCTGTCTGCAGACAAGCTGTTGTCAGAGTAACTTCTGCACAAAATGAAAGCCTAAATGCTGCTTGATCAATGAAAATGTAATACTACAGTTTTATATTTAGGAAGTATTTTTTTATCCCGATTGTTTGATTGTTGTTGTGATTTTTTTAAACTTGTTAGCAGGATATTTCAAAAACAAAAATGAATGAGATGTATCAATACCACTCTCATTTCAGTGCAGTAAGTATAGAGCTACAGCCAGCAGGTTAGCTTAGCTTAGCATCAAGACTGGAAACTGCTAGCCAGCCAAGACCTAACCCGTTTAAAACCACAACTTGTCATTTTTACACTATGGTTTTAATATAATATTTGAATTACTGAGCTTTTTTTTTTTTTACCTTTGCACAGCTAGTTATTTACAGTCTTTATGCTAAGCTAAGTTGACCATCTCCTGCAGTAGCTTTGTATTTAACAGCGAGATGTGAGAGTGGTATTTACCGAAATGTCGAGCTATTCCTTTTTTTAAAGACTTTACTCAGTCAACAAAAATCCAGCCCATGTATCTCATGATTATCTATCACCTTGGGTATTTTTTGGTAGCGATTAAAATCGAGATGCAAACTAGTGCAGACTTAAAGCAAGTATGTTCTGTTTGAATTCATTCCAGTTTTGTTAAAAAATGAAAAATGAAAAAACAACATTACAGCAAGGGATTTTTCCAATCACTCTCACCATGCTGTTTTCTACCAGGTTTATGTGTTCAAGAATTTTCTTATCAATATCTGTGCTTTTTTCCCTCATGAGCTTCGTAATTTTATTTTACTTGGCAAAAATGTTTTTAAAGTATCGAGAGAAGTGTTTTCAGTTTTCAATTCTGAGCTTTAATTATTGAAGTGGTTTCTATTGACTGTAGTGATATTTAATACGACATGGCATGAATCTAAAAATGCAGTCAGGCGTAACCTCAGTCTGACTATTTAATTGAAGTTTTTCCAGCATTGCATACAGTGTCTCGCTGGGCTTGTCAGGACTTCATCGCTCATGACCCACAAGCTCTCACAAAGACCAAGAAAAATTCTTTAAAAACCTTAGACTGTGGCCTCTGTTATTCTTCAGACTAAATTAACAATTCTTTTGCTTCCAGCCAGGAAAGACAACAGTAACGACATCTTTAATGGTGCCAGTTGAAAAATGAGGTGTGCATCCTGTAGCTCTGTACTGGGATTCATACTGAACGCAGCCTGAAATATTGAAGTTACCTGCTAAAACTGGCTTTTTAAAGTAGAACTTATCTGTGCTGGAACGTTTTCTTAGAAGAAATGTGGAGTTTGTCTCAGATGGAGCAGAAACACTGAGCTTTGAAAGGATTGTTTGGTTGAATGCCTCAGAATATGGCTGCAATTCAACCATCTCCTCTGCTGCGTTTGGAAGTTGGTCATAACTAATACTGAGGCACAAAGTCACAGCTCTCCATAGCGCACTGACACAGTCGGTCACTGCAGTCCCCGCTGTGAGCTGTTGGGGGCACACGCTCCACTTAATATACATCCCGTCTCTGACTTTCTATCTCCTATTTTGTGCCCAGATTCCACAGAGAACATTGTCCTTGAGGTCATTTCTCAGGAGCCTCTAGTAGAAGGAGCCAACATGACTCTGAAGTGTGTGGCAGATGGTAACCCAGCTCCTACCAGCTTTAACTTCCACATTCAGGTACACATGCTGTTCCTTCCATCACGCTTATTATACCTTTCCATCTGAAACGTATCATGTTATACTAGGCATCCTAAACTAATCACCTGCCGTTTGTATGTCTTTAAAGGGCGAAGTGGTGAAAGTGGAAGACACAGACTCTTACACCATCACGAATGTCTCACGTGACAACACTGGTGAATACAAATGCTCGCTCATTGACAACCCAACAATGGAAGCATCTGAGGACATCACAGTCAAATGTAAGAAACCAAAACATGTTGGGTTTCTTCAAAAATAGAAATTACTGCAATTTTGCCACACATCCGTCATTGTCACTGTGATTGCCTTTTCTGCCTGTAATCGTATTTGTTACTATGAAAGCAAAAAGTGTTTGCTAGAAAAAAGAAAGTCCTAATGTCTCTTTCTTCCAGCCTATACCTGTCTTGCTGTGCTTTGTGGAGAAAAGTGTTGTGTCAACTGAACTGCCTCTAATAAGCTGCTTTTGCAGGGCTGTGAGCCAAGTGCAGGGTTGTGTGGTTAACAACAGGAAT